TCCCACTGAAGCACCCAGATTCAACAGCAGCACTGCAGCTCAGAACTCCAGCTGCCTGTCAGTGAGTGCTGAGGGGCAGGGGCAGTGGCTTGAGTACTTGGGCTCCTCACCCATGTACAATATCTGGATTAAGCTGTTGGCTTCCAGCCCCAGCGAAGGGACACAGTGACCATGTGGGCGCAGAACAGCTAGAGTACTTTCTTTCTTCCTGTCTCACAAAAAAGAAAAGAAATCCTGGCAGAACAGAATGAGCATGAATTCCAACCTGTCTCTGAAAGATTTCAGGCCAAAAAGTGCAGGCAACAGAAGCTCAAAGTGTACTGGCAGCAGCAGCTGAGCACCGTGAAGCTGTCATTCCGGTGACTAGGGCTGGCCTTCTCTGGCCACCTCAAGTACCGACATTTCCAAGTATCTGTCCACTGTGGGCCAGCCCAACCCTGGCCGACTCCTTCCTGCCGTTAACAGTCTGCCATCCCTTCAGCTGAGGTCCCCCTGCAACTCTCCATCCCAGCCCCTGCGGATCCTTTTCCAGGTTCTGGCTCCACCCGAGGGCCCACACACCGACCGGTACTGTCTGCTTCAGTATTCACAGCACAACGTCTGGCACGTGGTCCAGGGCTGGACGGGGTGTGAACGTGTGTCATGCTCACAAATGCCGCCCTGGGTCTGCTAGGCTCACACGCAGGTGGAGGGGCGGTGGTGCAAAGGCACAGTGCTAGTGGACAGGTAGCTCCTTCTCTCCGGGGTCTGCTCCGAGGCTCTGCTCAGTGCCTTGCTGCTTCTCCCTCCCCAGCACCTGCAGTGGCAGTTCTTTAGTAGGCACAGGCTCCCAGGTGTGACAGTACATAAGATGGTCCAGCCTCTACTCCCCCCCTCTCTCTACCACACAGTCTCCTAAAGGTATCCCCTCTGTCTGGCTCTGCCTCATAAAGGACCAGGAATAACACATATGTTTAAGTAACAAGCCAAGGAGTGCATTATAGTTTTAAGCAGCTACATTGTGTGTTCCAAAACTAACCAAACACGTGATTTCAGAGACCATGCAGTGATCTATTTTGAGCTGGTCCTTCAGAAAATGATTATGCAGGGTGGCACAGAAGCGGGCTGTGGGTGGGGGACCTGGGGAAGACGGCTCCAGGATGCTCTGCTGGCCTCTAATTAGGTCCTCCACCAGGTGGTGCCAGGGCGGCTGAATTTCACACTCAGCTCACTCAGCCCCTAGAGGCACTCAGGCAACAGAGCAGGGCAACGGTCAGGAGAATCCTGCTATGCCCAAAGACAAGAAGTTCTAGACAGGCCACCAGTATCATTACAAATGGAGCATGACACAGAGGGAGCAAAGGTCACACTACATCGAGTGATGTGACGTAGATTCAAGAGGTGGAGGGAGAACACCTCTAAGGAAGCAGAGCCTTAGAAGAAACCAAAGAGAGGAACTGGCCATTCTGGCGAGCAGGGGTGATGGTGGGGAGGCCTCTCCACTGCAGGGAACCGCATGTCCACAGGTGGGCAGGAAGGAGGCTAGCCTGTCTGACCACTCATATGGTAACCAGAAGACACTGCACTGGGCAAGGCTTCAAGTGGTCCAGGTGGGGTCCCTGTAAGAGTCACAGGCCAAGGTATGGAGCTGGACCTTATTCTAAGATCAACAGGAAGCACTGGAATTCATGTCGTGGCTCCAGTGCAAGGACTGTGGAGGAGGCCAGAAAGTAGGCAGAGCTTGGAAGACTCTGGAATCTGAGAAGGCCTTGGCCAGAAGGGCTGGAATCAGTTGTGATGACAGGGCAAGAGGAAGGTATGAAGTGTATTCAGGTGCTGGGCACACCCTGCCATCACCGGCTTAGCATGCACCAGGAACCTCCAGGGCCGCCCTCTGGCCTTGGCAATGACAGGTCAGGGTAAACAAGTCAGAGCCCTGCGCTCATGGAACAGAGGTGTTTTTGAAGCAAGAAGGACAGCCAGGCTCAGTGGCAGATAAGCGGAAATCAGGCTCAGACAGATGGAGGCAGAGACAGCACTGCTGCTGCCACAGCCAGCAATGCTGGGGTTTAAAGGAAGCCAGCAAGCCTTCTCCCAGAGAAACCCCCCCAGATTTCAGACTTTTGCCTCTACAACTATGAGAAAACAAATCTGTGTTCTAAAAAAAAATAATACATAGAAATACTTCAATATGCTTCCTCCATTAGCTCTTGAAGGAAACTGAATTGTCTCTTTTTAAAAGGCTATATAATTTGTATTTATTTGTGACTCAGAGACGGGAGCTGTAGCTACCCTGCAATGCCATGCCTCACACGCTATAGCCTTCCTTTGATACAAAATCAAGTGAAAGAATAGGATCAGACCACAAATACATCCAAGAAAAGGTCATTTCATGTCACAGAGGCTCTACCAGATTAGGTTAAAAGATGATTTAATGAAAACATTCGTGCTGTTAATAACTTTCCATTTTGGCGCATCAAGGAGGCCCTGAGACAGGACAGGTTGTGTCCCACTGTGTACGTCACGGTCCTGCCAGGATCTCTGCCACACTGGCCACACACCAAACACGGGGAGAAGGTCCACGCCCACAAAGAACTTACACGACCCACAAGTCGAGCCCATGTCTGAGCTGATGCGGTCACATGCGAACAGCGGGCCGCGTGCAGACGTGGCAGCAGCCATGAGCGGCATCTCAGGCCTGCCCTTTTCCTATCTGCCTTCCAGCTGGGGGTGGCCTGTGAGCCAGTTCCAGCAAAAAGAGGCACAGGCAAAACTCGGGAAGCTGGGTGGGGCTTCCTGCCAAAAAGGGCCCCTATCAACGGATGGCCTACCCCATTCCTATTAAGGCCACAGCCAAGGTGCCAGGCAGCTCAGCTCCCACCGAGACATGCACCATGACGGAGGATGGCCGGGCAGTGAGAAGACAGCACAGAGAGAAAAGACAAAGCAAGTGAGTTAGTCCTGCACCCCGACCTTCAGATATCTTGCTATCTAAACTCTGTAAACCCACAAGTGTTTACAGCACCACAGTTGGAGTTTCGTTATGTTCTGCCAAGTGCAGTTCCAATCAAGTCAACACTCTGGTGAAAACTGACTACAAGAGATGGAATTTCCCCACGAGTCGCTTGCTCTCCTATGAGACACTCAAGGTGGCCTCACAAGGAAAACATTAAGTGCCACGCGTCCTGCATGGGCACAGGAACAGGTTACAGAAATCTAGCAAGAGTTTCAGGTTCGGTGCCAGAAACACACAGCGGAGAAACGGCGGCGGCCTCCTCAGGACGGGGTGCTGTGCCAGCAGGACATGCCTCAGCCCAGGCCCTGCCCGTGCACAACGCTGGAGCTGCGTCCCCACTTCTGTCCCTCACACTGAGAACGTATCAAAGACCTAAGCTTAACAATGATGAGGTTAGAAAAATGAAGGGCAGTCACTTCAAGTTACTGGTGTGGGCAATACATTAGGGGGGATAAGACCCCAAAACAGAGGCAGTGAAAGTAGTAACAGACAAAGGAAACGGCTAAGGAGCTTCGGCACAGCAAAAGAACCAATTAGCAGAATAAAAATATAACCCACAGGGTGGGAGAAAATTTTGGCCAACTTTCACCTAGGCGTTGATATTCGGGGAATAGAAGGAACAAGCACAGTAATAAAAAAAATATCCAATTTAAAGACAGACAAATGATGCAAACATTTTACAACATAACAATTCCAAATGGCCAAGATTACAAATGCATGCCCGACATCGATAGCCCTACAGAAAAGCAAATCAAAGCCACACTGAGATACACTTACTCCAGTCAGAAAGACTCTTACTGCCACATCGTTGAGGCCAGTGTGCGGCACAGGAATCCTCCACCCACAGTGCTGGTTCATGTCCTGGCTGCTTTACTTCCAATCCAGCTCCCTGCTGACGGCTTGGTAAATCAGCAGAGGAAGGCCCAAGTGCTTAGGCCCCTGCACACACACACACTGGAGATCCAGAACAAACCCCTGGCTCCTGGCCCAGCCCTGGCTAGTGCAGCCATTTGGAAAATCTGTCTCTGTCTCCCCTTCACCCCATATCTTTAACTTTCAAGTTACCATAAATCTTAACACACACACAAAAAAGGAAGAAGATGAACACTGTCAAAGCTGATGTAAATGTGGGCAGCCACCATGAAGAGCAGCACGGAGCTTCCTCAAAAACTACAAACCCAACTGCTGTATGACCCAGCTATCCCCCCTCGAGCATCTGCCCAAAGGAAATGAAATCAGCGCAGCAAAGAGGTGCCCGCAGTGCCAGGCTCCTACGGAAACAATCTCGATGTCCAATGGTGGACGAGCGGACAGACAGTGCAGCACACATAAACGATGGAGTATTACTCAGCCATCGAAAGAATCCTATCATTTGCAGCTTTCTGAAACAGATGCAACAGGAGGGTATCATGTCAGGTGAAGTCAGTCAGACAGGAATCTACCACAGGCTCTTTCTCACGCGGAAGATTTTTAAAAATCGACGTGAATGTAGCAGAGTGATGACTAGAGGGGTGGGAGTAGGGAGGAAACGGAGGCAGGCCAGATGCCGGGTGCCAAGCCAGGTAGGAGGAAGCGGCACTGCTCCAGGCACAGCAGGGTGGCTACAGTTCACTACAACCTACTTCCAGGAGACAGACGCTGAAGGCACCAAACGTAAACCAGCAGCAAGGAGAAGGGGAGAGCAGTTCTCCTGGAAGGCACCCACTGCACACACCTATCCAACCATCACCTCAAACATCCTTAACACACATGCTTGTCACATCCTCACTTTAAAAGTTCCTCAGATCTTTAAGGACATGGCAATTCTACCCATCTGATCATCACCCAAAGAATACATACAGTATCTTTTTGGCTACACAGTGTACAATTTAAAAACTCTTCCTAATGACAGTCCCCCACTCTCCTCCCCCTTTGAGCTGTAAGGAAAATGCATATAAACATACGAGTTGTCTAAGAACAGCAAAACACCAATGCGCTCACAGATGGCATTGCAGTAGTTCTCTACCTTAGAAACGTTGCTTGAATGACTCATGGAATGTCCCAAAGTCTTCTCATTCTGCAAGTAAAACAAACAGGTATGAGGGTTCAAGCTCTGATTAAAACAGACCAGAGACACAACGGAGTGTAACAATCCTACTGACAAGTTATTCGCAGAAACAGAAACTTGCTGAGCTCACCTTGCTGGGTACTGGATGTATGCAGCCAGGCGGCTGATACTGCATAAATGGCCCCAAATGAATTCAAATACCAACTGCTACCGGAGAGAACTTTCAGCCTGAGATAACTTTTCAACAAATTATCAAGACCAGAACAAGAGCATTCTAAAGAACTAAGATGGTGATAGGGTCTTCAGATGCACTCAAGTGAAGGTCCCGGGGCAGGAAGCCGCATGCATGACATACACAGTCCACACCACAGCATGGGGGAAGTGGACAGACAGCTGATCCCACTCAGGCTTTGAGGCTGTACCCAACTGCCCCCCTCACCAGAACCTTCTGGAGCAAAGAAACCCGGGAGTCACGCTGGGCTCCTCCCTCTCCGACCCCTCCACGTTCAGTTACAGTCTTAGATCCAAGCCCCCGCCAGTATTCTTCAGCCCCATCTCCATCTCTCCTACAGGCGCCCTTTTCACTTGGTCCTACCTGCTGACCTCTGTCACGGACTAGGTTAGGTCTCCACTCTTCGCAGGCTCATGCTCAAGTTCTAACCCCCAGTATCTCAGAACGTGGCTGAGTTGAAAGGTTGGGTCTTCTGAAGATACCATTAAGCTTAAACAAGGTCAGCGGGGAGGACCTTAGTCTGGCAGCCCCGGCGATGAGGATCTGCACAGAGCAAGGCAGTCCTGCCGGCACCTTGGGACTCCAGCCTCCGGACTGTGCGGGGAAGCCGCCCGGCCTGTAGAACCTCGGTAGGGGAGACCTAGCAAACACACACAATGATCTTCCACACTGACGATTTAGAAAGTGAGCATTCTGGGGCCAACAACATAGCATGACAGGCTAACCCTCTGCCGTGGTGCTGGCATCCCATATGGGCACCAGTTCAAGCATCAGCTGCTCAACTTCCAATCCAGCTCCCTGTCTATGTGTCTGGGAAAGCAGCAGAGGGCAGGTCAAGTGCTTGTGACCCTGTACCCACATGGCACACCCAGAAGTTGTTTCTGGCTCCTGGCTTTGATCCAGCCCAGCTCTGGTTGTTAGAGCCATTTGGGGGCTGAACTGGCGGATAGAGGAGCTCTGTTTTTTCTTCTCTCTTTGCAACTCAGCTCTTACACACACACACACACACACACACACACACACACACACACACACACACACACACACACACACACACACAGTATTCCAAGGATAAATCTGGTTCTTAAAAATAAGCAATTCCTTCTGAATCCACTCATTCTGGATCTAAAAACCCAAACAAGTCAAAACTATAACCAACTATAACCAAAAGAAAGACTGTGTTAGCCTCTTCATTTTTCCTTTTATTTTTCTGAAAGGCAAAGAAACACGAGAGACAGCAGACAGCAGGACAGAGCTCTCGGCCATGGAGCGCTCCCCAGATGTCTGCAACAGCCCCGGCGGGCCAGCGCCTGGAACCCAATGGCTTGGCACATCACCTGCTGCCTCCCAACGCTGCCCCAGCCAGAAGCGGGAGATCAGGAGCCGAGCAGGTGGCACGTGTGCCCAGCAGGCCGACTGTCGGCCCCTTATTTGTACCTTTAAAGAAATCTACTCTCACTTTGGTTCACGTGCTACACAGTTAGCTGTGGGGATGCTGAGACCTGGCTGGTGGAGGCACTCCACTGATGGATCACATGTACAGACGCAAGAGTGGATCACTTAGAGACCCTCTGGGGAAGCGCTGGCTCCACTTCATCAAGCCTCTTCTCCCAGGGAGCCAGCCCTCCAGAGTCTGACCACACCCCTGGCAGCCAGCAGGGCAGATCCCTTCAGGTCAGCACAGCAGGCTCTTGGAACACCTCCTACCCCAAAACGCTAACGGAGAACACTGCCACATCTCTCAAGCAACCTGACAGCCAGCACGTCGGCCCAGGCAATGATGCCCTCTTGCCTTTACAGCAATGTGCTTGCACAATTCTTGGAATGCTTTATTACATTCTGTACTTCATCATTCTGAATAAAAACAGAAGTGTTTGACCCTCGGGTCAATGTTAAACAAAATCAGAAAGTTTGGTAATATATCACCAAAACCCAGGTCCAATCAGGAACTTCATTCAGCTGTGCCATTGGCTCACACGCGTGCACGCACACACACACACACTGGCAAGACAGGTCAACCTGTAAGTATAACCATCTCAGATTCACTCGTGATGCACAAATACATGACGGATACACAGAGGATGCGGCTGTGACTCCTGGCTTCGCGCTTTACCTTCTCATGACTTACTGCTACACTCTAGTCCGTGACATCAAGGCCAAGACACCACATGCCTTTGGTAATAAGGACCAAAGACCAAGTGCAATCATCGTCACATCGGCTGCCACTTCAGGAGACTGGCCAGCTGGGCAGCATCTGGAAAGCTTCGGGGCCAGGCTGAGGTACTGACAAGAGAAAGCAACACATTCAAGACGTCCGCTGTGCCATGCAGGCTGGGTACTGTGCAGGCAGAGGCCTAGGGATCAAGCGTCTCAACTTCATAAACCAGGACTAAGCACTGAATTTGCTCTTTCCCGATGCATTTAACAAATATATCTCACTACACAAGCCTTTCCTCCAGTTCTTGAGTTAGAACCGTTAATGGTTTACACTGGGGAATTTATTTTTAATGGCCAGCTCCTGACTGACACCTGCCAACATTTATAGCTGCTTCTCCACTGTATGGCAAGATCTTAACTGAGCTCCAAAGGTCACCTCCATGACGTCAAAACACTGCTATAATTTTGTAAATGTCCACTTAGACATTTCAAAAGGACTTCATAAGAAGTTCAGATGGGGGCCCAGCAGGATAGCGTAGTGATTAAAGTTCTCGCCTTGATGCGCCGGGATCCCACATGGGTGCCGGTTCTAATCCCGGCAGTTCCACTTCCCATCCAGCTCCCTGCTCGTGGCCTGGGAAAGCAGTCGAGGATGGCCCAAAGCCTTGGGACCCTGCACCTGTGTGGGAGACCTGGGGGAAATTCCTGGTTCCCGGCTTCAGATCGGCATAGCATCGGCCATTGTGCTCTCTCGGGGAGTGAACCATCAGATGGAAGATCTTCCTCCTCTCGGTATACCCACCTTTCCAATAAAAATAATAAACAAATCCTTAAAAAAAAAAGTTCAGGATGACCACAGAGTTATTTTCCAAAAAGTAAATCCAACAACTCATTCAAGGCAATCAACTCATTCACGCCACACTTCTTTACCGCACAGCTATGACACGCAAACAGCTTTGTCAGACACACAGCATGGTCAAGCACACTCCAACTCCCAGCACCGGGCCAAGAATGGTACCACCTGGGAACTGCTTTGAAACAGCGTTATCAGAGGACTGGAACAGCAAGCAGCAGGGAGCTGGAGGCGGGGTGGCTGACACCACTGCTCTGTCCTATGGCCAGGCTGGCATGTGTCTAAACAAGAACAAGGCACTTCGCCAACATCAGTGCCAACAACTAGACAGGCACACCAAGGAGAGGGAGCCCCAGGCCAAGGCCAAACGCAGCCGCGGTGCCAAAGCAACAGAAACCCTGGCAGGCCCTTCCCACGAGCTCTGTAACACAGCCACCGGGCAGTGGTGCCAGCTCCTTGGGGTCCTGGGTGAAAAAGCCCACCGTACCCTCCTTCCTCGGGCACCGTACCCTCCTTCCTCGGGAAGACACAGGGAGTACAAGGGGGCACACTCTCCCCGGACCTCTCTCGTCTCACACCTATTTGGAGGGGATCTCTTTGTGGCACATGAAACCCAGTCCCAGGCCCTCTTCTCATTTGTCACTTCAGCACCTAGAGCACGTGCCGAAATCAGGCTGCAGTTTGCCAGGTCTGGGCAGATAAGGATTCTGAATTTGCAGTAACCATGTTGCTGCTTCCCACCCCACCCCACACTCCAAGGTCCAAGTTTCACTTCATCCGGCCACCCAAATAATTCATTAAGACTATGGCTCAAATTTTAAAAGGTAAATAATGACTACTGTATTTTTCTGATGAAAAGATGGCAGTGAGGCCTGGGAGAACTGTACTATGCACCCCAGAATCCTCCTCAGGGCAACATGGTCGGGGTAGACCCTGAGCACCACGCCCACTGGTGGCATGGAGGTGTGTGCTGCACATACACACAGCATCCCCACCACTCCCTGCCGACAAGGGCCACTACCTGCGTTGGTTTCTCTGGCTTGGCACTTTATAAAGCTCTGCCAAGCAGAGGCTTCTGTGCCGGAGGACAAGCTGTCAGTGGGCACCTCGAGCTTGCCCTGCCGGCTGGTCGGGAGAGTTGGTGCTGGCCCAAAGAGTGTACCCCTTGTTCTACATTTTGGACTGAAACGATCCCAGAGTGTGGGCCCACAGAGTACATGGGGAAGGTCACACGCAGCTCATCCAAAAGGAATGAGCTCACAGGCTGCCGCTCTGCTCGGAGGCAGCAGCCACACTTGTCTGGGGAGTTGGAAGGGGCTGCCTCGGGCGTGGCCTTGGCCTTTGCTTGCCTGGTCCGTGCTCATCAGCGACAACTGGACAACTAGAGAAGGTCCGGAAGCAAATTGGGGCCACACGGCTGCATTCCACCTTGTACCATGCTCTTACAGACCTTGTCCCAGACAAAGTAGAGTGGCCTAATTTGTATCCTTAGATCTTTGCAGTGTTGTCACGATGACCCCACCCCTAGTTTCCTTTTCTGGATCATTAAGGGGCAGGATAAAAAGCATGGAGGATAAACTACTGAGTTAACACAAATAAATCAATGAGGAAATAGATTGGGGAAGATTCAGTCAGTGAGGGGGTGTGAGAAAGCAAAGTTCTCAATGTAAGAAGTTACCAAACCACAAATATTTAAACAAAAAAAAAAAAAAAAAAGCTCTGCTGAAGAATACAGGACATTACACAATTTATCTAATCGGTGCTGTT